TTTCAAGCCATTAGCACATGGATCCATTGGGATGGGGGAGGGCATCTGGAGTGTACAGGGGGGAGGGCATCTGGAGTGTGTGTACGTACACACACACACACACACACACACACACACACAGAGCTCAATGTGTGTGTGTACACTCCAGATGCCTTCCCCCTGCCACAATGGATCCATGTGCTAATTAGCCCCCTTGTCATGAGTCCTGGAATCCTCCAAAAACTTATATGTAGATGAGGTGCAGGGCAACCTGGTCTGGCTCCACCCCCGGGGGGCACGCTAATCATATGGGGGCAACAGAGGGATTCTGGATTAACTATTTGGGGCCCCATTTGGTGATGTTTGTCAGACATTTAAGGCTGTAAGAATGTCTGTTTTTTATCTACAATTCCAGAATGCTTCTGACTCTTAATGTCAATTAACACAAAAATGAAATTAGAATGATTAGGGAAGAGGCAGAATGGCACACAGCTTGGTTTCACCCCAAAATGTACAATTTGTTATTTCAGGTAAAATAGGAAGGCCTTGCTACTCGGGACACCAAATTCCCCGCATTTTGATACTCCGGGATACAAAGCTAGAAATTAGATTTCTGAAGGAAATGATAGTAGTGGATAAGCACAGAAAAGGACAAGTTGTTCCATCCCGAGCTGAACTAATCCATTACTCCTAATAGCCCCTGCTGGGAGCAGCACTTCCATCATTAGCATCAGGTTTGTCAGCATGTCTGTATGGGGCTCTGGTATCCATGAGGATCATGGCAGAGTTCATTGGGGCTGCATAGATTTGAAGCTCTATGTTCTCATTAGATTTTTCACTGGAAATATCAAGTAACAAAAACTTCATGGTGAATTTCCGTGTTCCTAGATCATTACCTGGGAGGGTACATTGTGGCTCATGTATATTAGAATTTCTTTGCAATCCCTGGCAGTGCTTGTTTTCTCTGCTGTTACTTTTTATTGCAGGAAAAAGCTCCTTGAATAGTGATTTCTGTATTTCTACATAATTGGAGAGCAGTCATTCTAGGGATTATAGGTAATAATCAGGGATCCAGGTTTTCCGTTTTCCACGGAAAAACAAAAAGCTGCCACAGATTTCCCCCTTTTTAACTAGATTTCTCACTTTAATGGAGAAATGCATGTATTTTCCACTTTTGCAGAAAGCTCTGTGCAGGCTGGCACAGTTCCAGCCTGCAAGGGGCTGGGGGGAGCAGGAGGAGGGTGGTCAGGCAGGGGCTGTGCCATGTGCATGTTGATGCACATGGCTGCCAGGCAGCCTGCAGAACAGCTCCTGGAAGTAAGTCGGGGGGTGGGGTGGATTGAGGTCCTCATAGAGAGGGAGTTGGGCAGGGCTGGGGCTGAGGCTGCTGCCCAGCCAGGCACTGCTTGGGGTGGCCTCGGGGCCCTGGCAGGGAGTGGGATGGGGCTGTGGGCAGCTCGGGAGGGGGTGGGGCTGGCTCTCCGCCACTGCACACACTCCCAGTGGAGTATGTGGGCCCCCCCCCCGATTTGTTTCTGGGGCAGGTGCAGGCTGTCTGCTGCAGGCTCAGGCTCCTTGCCCTGCTGCCCTCCCCCAGGACCTCCGCAGTCCAGCACGCGGGACCTGGTGTGGCAGGGCAGAGTGGGGCCAAGCAAGGAGACTCATTGCTACTGCAAGCCCTGCCGCCCTGGAGAAGCACCCTCTGCCCACCTGGCAGCAGTGGGGGCGGTGGTGCAGGTTTGTGCTTTCACTGCTGCTGGGTGGGCAGGGGGTGCTTTGCCAGGGCAGTTCAGGGCTTACAGTGGCAGTGAGCTTCCCTGCCTGGTCCCATTTTGCCCTGCTGTGCCAGGTCCCACCTGCTTGGCTGTGGAGGCCCTGGGGGCAGAGCAGGGCAGAGAATCTGAGCCCACAGTGGACAGCCCACCCGCCCTGATGGGCTCCGCTCCGCCTGTGCTGCCTGCAGGGGAGGGGAAGCTGGCTCTATGCTCTCCTCCCCACTCAGGCTGCAGCAGCTGTCACCTCCCATGGGCGACAGCTGGGGTTTGGGCGCTGCTGTAGCGGGCAGGGAGCTGCAGACCTGGGTCCCTGGCCCTGTAGCTCTGGCAGCTGGGGCCCCCCTCTGGCAGGACTGGGGGGGTGGGGGGGTTGTGGTTAGGGAGTGAGGGACACTAACAGGGCTGGGGGGCTTTGTCTTGGGAGTGAGGGCCTGGACCTGTGTCCTGGTGAGCGAAGGGGGCAGGGAGAACTCTGATTTTTCCATGATTAAAAAAACCCCAAAATCAAATGTCAAAATTTATAGATATTTAGAATGTATTTTATTATAGCGGTTGAGACACTGGTAGGCTTCCAAATTGCTTTAAAGTTGTAAATATATCAATAAAACATTGTATAGGGCTGTTTTATTTTAATCACGGATTTTGGGGTATTTATCAGAGAATTTGTGATTTTATTTATTATTTTCCCAACAGAGAGAACCACGATCCCTGGTAATAATTGACTCCTTCCTCTGCCCTTTATGCACCCAGTACTCACTTTGATTGGTTCAAAGTTGCTGGGCTTTGTTGGGATCCTTGTATTTCTGTAAAAATACAAATACCTGTTATGTGGCTACATACGCCTGATTTTATACTCTTTCAGATAGTGAATAATTTTCCAGGGGAGCATGATTTTCTGATGGAAAATTCTGTTGCTGGAAAATCAATTTTCCTCTTGACAACAAGAAAGAAGCAAAAGGTCAGAAATTCCATTTCATAACAGTTTGATGCAGCACAGGAAGAAAATGTGGTTGTATTGCAGGTATCTGCAGCTCTTATCCAGCAGACTTGCTTAAGCAACTGTCCAAAGCTGACAGGCAAATTGTTGAATAAATGCAAATAATTACATTACTAGTTCTTTATTGGAATCCAGAGGCAGGCAAACAGTGGAAGCATGGCAGGTAAGGGTTGTGAGTGCCTGCACCTCAGCCAGTTATGATGCCAGCGACAGGCTGGGAGAGTTAGGTAGGAGGATGTCTGCTCGGAGTGCTTGGTGGGAGGAGCCCAGGGCTTGGAACAGGGAATCTTTTGGATTTTCATACGCATAATATTCAGTTTAGGTTCTTCCCTGGGTTGGAGCAGCGGACATGTGTGAAGCATAAATATGGTTGACACTCCTCTCCATTTCTGTACACTTTGAATAGTTGCAATGGTTGAAGTACCAAGGCTGTGCTCAGACATGTGGCTATATCAGTTAGAAGGGTTTGCCATCCTGTGTCCTGACTTTTGGATTTCCTTTCTCTAAACAGATTTGAGTAATAAGTAGGGCTAGCAAAAATCATATTTGCAGACCTGTAGGAAAATCCTCTCATAAACACCTGGTTAGAATGAGGAAGAGATTCAAAGCAACAGGCTTCTCCCACACTTTTACATTGACTTTTTTTTTTTTAAACAATCAGTTATTAATATGATGCTTTGCACGCTTATCTGTTGTTTTTCAGTATTTAAATATCAAAAACAGAGACATGTTAATAGCCCACTACTGCAGTTCTCCAAAGTAACCAGGCATATTGTAGAACTTCTTGGTATTTACAAGAGATGCTGTGGTCTGTGAGCCAAACAATAGATTAATCCCCCATCAAGTTTATTTTTAGTTCTGCAACAATTTTCCTATGACATTTTTGGAAGTCACTTACACTTGTTTCTTATGTAGTCAACTTAGAAAAAGAGTTTGCTCAAACTTGCTAGGGAGCATTGTGGTGGGGGAGGGAAGAAGTAATTTATTCTGGTTTTGTGTTTTTCTTTCACTTTTTCAAAATAGCCCCTGATCAGTTTGGGAATTGAGAAATACTTTTATCCTGCGTAATGGCTTTAATTTCTGCCTGCTTTATTGACAAAGAATTGCATCCCTTTTTTTTTTTTTTTTTTTTTTTTTTAAAAAGTCCTGCACCTGAAAATTGTCTGTAATTAATTTTAAATGCCTACTCATTATAGTTGGTGTCAGATGAATTTATTGAACAGACTGTGGGGCACCAAAACATCAAATACTGCTAAAAAATTTTTGTAAGTGTTTTACATTTTAGGAATGCTGAATCATCTTTTTAAAAATCAAGTTTTACTGGTTGTCAGAGACACAACTTCACAGATTTGAAAGCTTGAGGTATCTTCAAGGTTGTAAAAAGATCAAAGCAGATTGGGACTGTGGTTGTAACCTTAAATGTGGACACATGATCACTTCCATCCCGTGAAACCTTCTTAAGTTAAGAAAGAAACTGGTCCTTCAGTGTCAAAATTAAAGGTCATTATGGCTTCAACTGAAGAAAATTGTTAGCTGTTGCATATGGAAACAGCCTGATTCTTTTTGAACTACATCTAACCAGTAGAGGGCAGCGGGTATCTGTATGTGGATACCCAGTGCTTTGTACTTCTTTCTGCTGAATTAAGTGGCAAAGAACAAAGCAAAACAAAACATGCACCTTGTTGGCATTAACAAGAGATGGAATTGGGCCAAACCAGTAATAATTTGGTTTCATTGTAACAGTTACAACTGGTTTTCTTTAAATACAGCAGACACCTGAATTCTCAAGGGGCATTAACCATGTGAAAAGTCTTGAGAGTTACTAGAGCTATTTTTGAGGTATAGCGACCCAAGCAAACATTACACAACACAACATTTCAGATCAAGGTAACTTTAAATAATAGATAACAATTGTTTGATACTTTGTTCAGTTTTGGAGAAATATTCTCTCACCTGAAAATTGCTTTTTTAACTCTGACAGAAGTAGATCAGCATCGAATCTTGAGATTCGGGCAATTCGAATTGGGGACAGTGATCCAAATCAATGAATCTATTCACCGTCTCTGATTCAGGCCGAATCCGAATCGAATAGGGTCCACTTCGCACACCTCTAGTAGCTGTCTTTGGATCTCCAAATTGTCTGACAGTAGGCTTTGTTTTTAAATAAAGTAGGTTGCTAGTTTTACATACATTCTTGCATTTAAAAAACAACCCTAATATTCATCTTTTTCCCCCCCCCGCCCCTTTAGTCTGAAAATCAGAACAACTCTGCAACACCCAATCAAGAGCATGCCCAACCTGTATCCAGTAATACCTCCATGAGCCCTCGCCAGCGCCGGGGCGCCCACCAACAGAGTCAAAGAAGGGCACCATCTTCAACTGACTTTAATCGGGTCCAGCAACCAAGAGTTAACACAAGCCACACTGGTTCAACTGTTTTGATCATTCTTCTGACTTTAGCATTGGCAGCCCTTATATTCCGACGGATATATCTGGCCAATGAGCGTATATTTGAGTTATAAGGGGTTTTTTTCTGTCTTAAGAGAAGTGACTTGAATGATTCATTAAACATTCTGTACTGGGCATGACATGAGAACTGTTTACAAAAGATTACTTTTCGTATTTACTCTCAAGTCCTGATGAATGTTAATATGCCTTTAGGGTACATTACTTTATAAGAAGGGCAAACCTTGCCATTTGTATGAATACTAACAACTGTTAATGATCTGTGAACAACCCCTATACACATGGAGAAAGAATTGGTTGAATATTAAGAGAATATGTAAGGCTAACATTTACTGGCTAAAGGAGACAGTTAAAAATGAGACTTTGTAATTTTTTTTTTTATTTTATTTTGTGAAAAATTAAATACAGATAGTCACTGTATCTAAGCTAGCATAAATTTACCTTGGAGAAGGGCTTTTAAGATGAAACATGGTCTGTTTGCTTTGAGTGAACTCTTAATTGAGTAGGGGGATGTTTTGTAACCACTTTTATTTATCAAAAAGCAGTTTTTTGGGGGGAGGAGGGATAGGAAAAGTGTAGGAAATTGTAATTTCTGTGGCAAAAAGGGGCCAGAAGAGTGTTTGCTTTATTTTTTGTTTTTAATTTCTTTGGAAGTTAGATTGGATAATCTTATACAAGATTTGAATGTCATCTTCTCATACTTTCAACTGTATATCTTGCTTTTTTAAATTTGAAGATGTTATATATAACTATTACTATTGCAATAGTTATAAATATGTAATATAATTATTTACCCAGAGCTATTGTCTTTTAATTATTTCATAAATATACAAATTGCATTAAATTGTTTCATATGCAGTTTTATTTACTGAAAAGAACTTAAAATTTTTCATGCTGAAACTTTGCAATACTTGGGCAAGCTTGAGAAGTATTCATGAGTTCCTTGAGTATGTGTTTATTGCAAACCAAACCTCATTGACTGGCACATCATTTATTTTCTTTTATCTTGATGCAGAACTGCAAGAGGAAGCTTTAAAAATCAGCAACTTTAAGTATCTTTCTAATATAAAGATCAAAGCATTTATGATGCTTCATTTTCCGTGGTGTTTTTACAAATAGAAGCAATGGGGTGATCACTTTGAGTGTACAGGTATAATTGATACGGTCTAAAACTTCATTTAAGAGACACAAGAGACTTGCAAATTTGCATATCTGCTAGTGCTCATTAAAGCCTGAATTTTACTCTGTTTCTCAGGAAAAATATAATCTGTGCTGTAATCAACTCATTTTTCAAAATATACTATATGCTGATGTATTTTGAAGTATTACAAATAAGTAAAACTTCCATTTTTGAAAATTAACAAACATGTATTTCATTATGTGACGTGATTTTAAAACTTGCAAAATTTGGAAATGGGTAGCTTGATGGTTATTGTGACTTACTGCTGTCTTACTGTACATACATCAAAGCATTCTTGTTTTAATTAAACATTTAAAAGTATATAGAACATCCAGATTACTCAGCACTTGCTTATTTAAATCTTCTACTGCAGCCATTGGTAGGCTGGAGTGATAGAGTTTGGGTCAGAGCCAAGAGGGCAGGTGCTAGGACCTTGTTGCTGCCACTGGTGCCACCACTACCTTTCCCCATGGTGGCACAGGGAAAGCATGCACCACTACCACTTTTCTCCAGAGGAGCTTGGAGAGGGTGTTCACAGCCAGCACAATTTGCTGTGGCAGTAGGGGAAAATGACTGCTGCCAAATGCCACCAAAGCGCATAGATTGGTGACTCCTATACTACAGTTTTCAAGTCTGGAAGGAGGTCATACTCTGGTCCTCTATTGCAGGGGTGTCCAACTCATCAGGTCTGGTGGGCCAGATAAATGAGCTGATGGTTGGGACCACAGACTGGCTGAGAAAACACCACGTGCGAAGTGCATCCCAGACTGGGTGGAGCAGGCAGCACGATTGGCACCTGTGCCAGAGCAGGTACCACGTATCCACTCCAAGCCCCATGAGCAGCTGAGGCCCAGATAAAAGAGCTCTGTGGCCCAGATCTGGGCTACAGGTTGGATCTTTGATGCCCCTGCCCCTTAGTAAAACAAGTAAAAGTATGCTTCTTTTAAAAGTGTTATCTTTTATTAGCCCAACAAGATTTTTCCAAAAAAAGAAATTCTAATTGCAAGCTTTTGGGCACAAACACCCGTCATCAGGCATTGGAGAAAAGATTGTAAAATTTCTCCTAGGCAGAAATGAAAGTTCACATTTCATAGGATTTCACAGAGGGGTCAATAGATGGGAAAACTCTGGGCAGGCAGTTCTTAGGTGGTAAGGAGTTTTTAGCAGGCTAAGAATTGCCTGCCCAGGGGAGTTTTCCATCTATTGACTCCTCTGTTAAATCCTATGAAATATGAACTTTCATTTCTACCTAGGAGAAACTTTACAATCTTTTCTTCAATGCCTGATGAAGGGTGTTAGTGCCCGAAAGCTTGTAATTAAAGATTTTATTTATTTATTTATTTATTTTGGCAAAGATTTTGTTGGGCTAATAAAAGATATCACTTCTACCACGAGCCCTGATTTTGGGGGTTTTTTTTCTCAATACAGCTACAACCTGAATACTTGATCAGAATGTGTTGTCAAAAAAGCCAACATGGGGTCTATAGATTTTAAAGAAAGTAGGTTGGGGTTTTTTTTGTCCTGGTTGGTAACATTGTTTGAATGCACCTGCTGCAAACCTGGTCAAAGCCTGGGCTGAGGAAGAAAGGTTCCCAAGGACAGTTTTGCAGATTGTTCCCTTGGGAGATGTGCACTGTGCATAATAGTCCAGTATGTTGCCAGGGAGACCAGAGGTGCTAACCAAACCTTACTCCAACCCTTGTGTGGCAGAACATCCTTGCTGCTGCTGAACAAACCCCCAGCACAAAGGTAAGGGCAAGGTTTTATTTACAGTTAGTAAATAATGAACCTCAAACAGGCATCTGAAACCACCTCATTATATTAAAAAAGTTGTAACTTTTCATATTTGTTTCAAAATATTGTAACAGGTGAAGGGTCCAATCCTGCAAACACCTACTTGCACAAGTAATGGCTCGTTGTTGTTGTTGTCTAGTTTTACATCTTGCTCTATCCAGAAAAGTTCAGTGGCTTACAATAAATGACAAACAGTAATGGTGGATTCCCCAAATCATAACCCAAAACTAGCAAATGCCACCCCACATCACCTACCTTCACTTCCCTGCCTGTCACACTTGGGAGCCAACCCTCTGACAAATCCCAACCCCCATTTCCATATAGGTGTAAAAAAACCCTCCCTTCCCACACTGTGCCCGCTCATTCCCATTTCCCTGCCTCACATCCCTTCCTCCAGTGTCAGGTATGACTATGCTTTAATCACAGGGTCACAGATTTTGGCATAAGTGCTTTTATTTTTTTGAACCTTTGAGGATTACTATAAATACCCTAATTTCAAATCATGGTTCATTTGCTTTTATTCTTAAAATCAAGTATAAGAGAAATACTGATTTTTTTTATTTTATTTTATTTATTTTTTCCCAGAAGGAAGTGTCATTTTAATACTGTTAACCTACAAAGCAAAAGTTCTCATCTAGAAAAATTCTGGGCTGCTTAAAACACTTTTAATATCATGAAAGCCAACAGCTTTGTACTAACTGCTCCACCCAGCTGAGTAACTGGTAATTGATCTAGAAAAAACCCACAAAATCTATAAAACTATGCCAAAATATGTGCATCAGTGCAAAATATGTTTATCCTATCCTAATAAACACACAGTATCTAGGCAGCTCCTTGTTTGAAAAAGGCATGCTATAATAAACATCCCTGGGATCCTTAATGAAGAGAAGCAACAAAAACAGCCTGGCAGAAGGGTGGCGCGGTTCTGAGATTAGTGGCTTGAGCAAAAAACTGGCATGTGGAATTGCAGTCTTTTTATATAATGGATTTTGACAACTATCTCCTTTAGGACCCAGTGGGAATGTCATTTGACAGGGCAAACTTCATGAGTAATGGCCAATCACGAAGCAGCATTGAAGGAATTGCTTAGAGTAAGAAGCCCTGGAAAGCCTGTCTAAAACATTAAATCAGTAAAGCAGTGTTTCTAACAATGATCGCTCTGACAAGCACAGGACCCTGGAATTATAGCTGATTCAATGTTTAAACCCGAGTGGACTTGTACTGCAGGAGGTTATTGGAGTGCAGAGTGTCTCATCACGCTTTCCCATAAAATGCCTTATTTTGGAAAACTCATTTTATTGATCTTTTGCTTGGTCCTTCTTGTGGAGAGCAGAAAACACCGGAGGCAACGATGGGCAGGTCAGCTGGAGTCTCAAAGAGTAAGGTAAGGAGCCTTAAAAATCTGAGACTTTTTTTTTTCCTTACTTCAGATGCTCTAGTGCAGTGGTTCTCAACCTTTTTTTGTACTGGGACCCATTTGTAAATATTGATAGCCAGTCCTGACCCAATGCCCCTCACTCCCAACCTGCTGCCCCAGCCCCTGGATGTGAGGAGCAGGGGGTGGGTGAATGGGGCAGAGGGGGCCCCAAGCAGCCCCTTGCCAGCTGGAACTCGGCCAGCCTGCAATGGAAAAGCCACAGTTTCCCACATTTTTCTCCTTTTTAAAAGAGAATCCATTTTTAGAGTTTGTTCATGACCCTGTCATATATTCTTGCAACCCACTTTTGAGAAGCGCTGCTCTAGTGAACTAGGTACAGAGCACACGTACCAGAGCAGAAAACATGCCACGTGTGCGTGTGTGTGTTTAAAATACATCTATTGTAGCTGCATATGGAAAATGCTTTTATGATTTTCTCAATAACGCTAAGCTATCTCTGCTGCTCTTTTCAGCTTTAACTGTAATGATTCATGTTTCTAGTAGCTATCATGGATAACATACTCCATTGGTTGTTCCTTGTTGAATAGTCTTAGACACGTGCACAAATACTGTAGATACAGAAAGAACTGAAGGAAGATACTGAACAGGATGAGCAAACTCACTTTTCAACATCTTCCGAGCAATAAAACATTCTAGTTCAAATGCTGCTGTTTAAATGTCTCTGCTATGCAAATTCACCTGAGAAACGCATATAATTTTCTGATAACAATTTACGTTTCTTTCTATTATCATGCATAGGACTTGATTGATGTTGTGTAGGTAAATTTTGGAAAATTATTTGGAAACTAAAATAACTTTATTATACTAATAAAGGCAAATGTGCACCAAAAAGCTAAAGGTCCAAGTCAAGCTTATTGTATTTAATAGTACTGAGATGTGGTGGTATATTAATATTAGAAAAAGTAATTATCCAAACTTGCCAAGTAGTCTGAAGTGCTCTATTCTTTTTGGACAGTTATGTCATTCAGTAATAATTATCTCTCTCAATTGTTTGTTAGGCTAAAAGCTAGAAACAAATTTGAGCCTATCCATCTTACTAGATGGAATCACTCTACACTTTTATATTGTTTTGTTTTACAAAGCACTTAATATGAATTTTATTTACAAAAAGTGCTGTGATTCAGTTGACATTTTGCATTTAAAATGTCCTGCAAAAGAACCAACAGCAGGTAGAGGCTAGTGTGGTCTTTCAATGCAAAATATAAAAAAAATGTATTTTAACAACAGAAATCTTCTGTAATTTGGAGCCTGATCCTGAAACATTTTATCCAAAAGCAGTTTTGCCACTGTCTTGTAAGGCAGCAGGATCTGTTCCTTATTGTGAGAAGTATTTATAAATAGGCTTTCTTTTCAAAGTTCTTGTGAAATATAAGTTTCCAAGCAATCCTTTCTTTTACATGATTGAATACTCTTACCTTGAACTTGGAGTAACATAAGCCTCCAGTACACATTCTTTTGTTTTGAAGATTTCTCTTCCCAAGGACACTGCTACTTTAAGGGTTAATAAGTTGTGATTATTACATTTCTCTTCAATTATTTTTATATGTATTAGAATAAACATTTCCAATAATCCTTACTGCCTTTTGCAAAGCGGTGATAATGGAGAATAAGGCATTGCTAAACATTTTGTTTGATAAATATATAGCTATACTGCATTATGTCTCGGACAGCCATAGCCGACTCAAGGTGATTTAGAAATTGCTCGTTCGTTAGGGCGGGCTGGTGAATGGAGAGGCAGACAAGGTTTAATGGTTGCAAAAACGTTTACTTATGCGGCTTGTAGTTGCGACGCAGATGGTCCGGTTGTCTGAACAACTATGTGAGTTGTTCCAGCTGGCAAGGCCCAAGCCAGTTAATCCGTCTGCAAATTAAGCCGGCAGGAAAAAGGGTACGTCTGGGATTGCGCTCAGCGACGGGAAGAAGGATCGATAGGTGATCAGTCCATCGATCAGCTAGCCGCAAGTCAGATCTCTTTAGAGGCACTCTGCAGCATGCTCAAAGTTCTTCGACTTGGGCGGAAGTCGCACGAAGTTTTAAACAGCTAGCAAGCAAGCCAATTACTAGTTGCCACGTAGGAATAATTTAGAACTA